TTTTCTCAGTATAAAAAAATATTGCCCATATACATGTGTGTATATACTTACACTGATTTTTTTGTTTTCAGAATCAACTGCACAGTTACATATGATTACAGTGGTCTATAACTCATAGCAGAGTCAGAGCACAGTTTCAGTTGGGTAGTAACCCAGAGAATGGTTCACAAGAAGGCTGAAAATGCTATCACTGCTACCTCCGTGAGGCACTGAGGTTTACCCTGATCCTCATCTTATAGATGCTTACCTTTGTGACTACTCTGTATGTAATAAATGTTTCAATGGCTGTAATGTGGCTTTCAGGGTCATCAACAGTAATGAAGAGATCTTTTAATTCTGGTTCATCTTCAAATTTATACTGGTTTATCATAGATGAGGGGGATATTGGCATTGAAGGACTGAATGAGTTCACCTCAGCCAGGGACGTATCCTGCAGACAGGACATGAGAACATCCACATTGAAACATATTTATACACAACCAAACACATCTTGGATGCTAAAATGGTAAGTTCTAAAATAAAACTTAGGACAGACAAAAGAATTATATGATCTGTGACAAGTCTATTATTCTCTTCAGTATTTGCTTCAGTGAGGATACAAGGAATGAGATTTATTCTAGCACTGATCAAAGCAAAATGGTACCTTCTGACAAGAAATTTATGCACAGCTATAGAACAGAACTTGCCTGTGGATGCTAAAATGAGTTATGAATACAAGCAGCCAGTACTTGTGCAGTTTGATTACCAGCTTTGTTAACATTGTTTGCAGCATTACTTCAGGACTAAGGAAGTTTCAGTTATTTCTAGTAGGCTGTACTATAAGAAATTATGACTTTAAAAGACCAAGACAAAATCCAATTTTGAGTTTTTATTGGAATCAGATATTTCAGCTTGCACATATTTTAGAATAGAATTTGAAATAGAAAACTTTTACGGATATATGAATTTACTCTTTAAATAGGTATGCATGTAGTATAAAACTGGTGTTTAATTTCTTAATTAAATTAAATCCACTAACTACAGAAAACAGCATAATATAAATAATATATGTTTTAAAATAATGACAATTAAAATCATCACAATATTTGAAACATCAAACATTTTATGTAGCTTTTCTAATATATCAAATGCAGTGAAATATTTCAATGAACTACAAACTTTAATATTCATCTGTGTTTTCAGAAAGTTTCCTAAAAATCTACAAGACATAAATAAAAAATAGAAGTGCGTGTAGCAAAAATAAACTGTAAAACTGCTTGAGGAAGCATGCTTCATGCACACACTTCTTTTAAAGCAAAGAGGTCATAGTGCAATGGGCCCAGCTAGTGGGAAATCGCTTCTTAAAGCTGACAGAGCATGAAAATTGCATTCTCTTTTGAAAAGTTTAAGAAGCTGATATGCAAAATTGAATAAAAGCTGAAGGTTTCTGAAGGAGGTCAGCACGTGGATGAGCAGCCGCCTGTTGGGTCGGCCCACCAGAGGCTGACCAGCCCCAGGCCGCTGCTGGCTGCTGGCAGCTGGCAGGGTGCTGAGGAGCTCACCCCACACAACACGGCATCTCACTGGCCACCACAATGGAAGATGCCTTCTTTTTGGGGGGCTTCTCAAAGCAGAAGCATCCTTAATTCTCTGCAACATCAGCAGCTTGTTTCAGGCTCGCTTGAGCTACCTTTCCACTTGCTTTACAACGCAATAAAATCAATTGCTTGTCTAAGCCAATGAATAAGCAATATAGAATGGTTTGGGTTGGAAGGGGCCTTAAAGATGACCCAGTTCCAACCCTTCCGCTCGAGCAGGTTACCCAAAGCCCCATTTGCCTGGCCTTGAGCACCTCCAAGGATGGAGCACCTGCAGCTGCTCTGAGCAACCCGTTCACAAGGCTGACTGCTCTCCTGCAAGCAAGATAACCCCAGTGGCAAAAACTGCCCTTCGTAGTGCCTTGCTGACTATGGAGCATGCAGAAAACAGATGTTGCTGATGAGAAAACTCTAAGATGTCAGAAGTAGGAATGTATGAGTCCACACAAACCAGAGCTGTGTACTGTCATGTGGGACTGAAGAGTACAAGACTGGTGTCACTGAGGCTGGCAAGAATTTTTCCATTGGCTTCAATGGGGTCAAAACTATCTCAGGGACATGTTCTTCCCCTTTTCCTGCTCTGACCCTCATTTTCTACTGCAAACTCTCTCCTTTTGAAATCTATCAATGTACTCTCACACATATGGAGTAGAAAATCATATTGGGAATTATGCACTGAAAGTATTAATATACCAGACCTTCTATTCTATAACTCTGTGATTAAAGGTGATGGTTTTAATATTATATAGGTGCTTCACTGTATGTCTGTCAGTTACTTGACTTCTTTTACTCAGACTGTTCCAGCCCACAGTTTCTGTGCTGTATGTGGTCAGCCCTGACCAAAGCAGTGGAGGATGAATACAAAAGCTGTGCTTTCTCTGCTCTACAGCACCAGCTGCCCATGCTCTATGTGGAGAATGAGCACAGTTTCCCAAATGTGCTTGGGTGAAGCGAAGTACTGAGAAAACAGGAAATTTCCAGGGAAAGAAAAACGCATGTGAGCATGCATGGGATTTGAATGGCCATTGATGAATAATGACAATGCAAAGCCTAATCAAGGTAAATGTGTTTCGTACTGTCTAATTTCCTACAGGTCACCAGTATCTTCATGTTTCCTTCCTCCTCAGTTGCTACTAAAAGTTGTACAAGCAGGTTCTGGAAAGCATGTTTTTATATGCAAGGGCTCACAAGTGTGTGATCTGAGAAATAAAACTGCAACAAGAAAAATCCATGGAACAAACAAGTCTTCTGTTTCGCTGCTCTACACCCATTGTGTCATCTGCATATGAATGACTGCATGTGAGTTTTAAGTAAGCACATCTCTTCTTTACTTCAGGTTTACTTCCAGCAGTTCTTGACAGAACACGGTAAAAAAAAAATTAAAGCTAGCTTTCTGTTCTTCTATACAGCTATGACATTAAAGTTGGAACTATGCTTTTGTGTATCTGTTGTGGGTGGAAGGAATTTTGTGGCAGAAAAGAAAACAAGCAAATGTTCCCATTCTTGTTTAAAAATTTTTTCATTTGACTGAAATTGGCCACTAAGAGTCCAAAATTAATATGGGATAGAAACACTTATGCAGTGGGAACAGCCTCAATGTGGGCTGAGCACACAGCCTGCAGCTCTCTGGGGAAACCATTAAGCCCTGGAGTTTGCCAAAACACTGCTCCTACTCAGAGAATGGACACTTGGCTCAAGACTATTGCCATCAGGCAGAACATAGAGCATGCATCTGAGACCAGGGATCCAAAGCAGGTCTGGAATCAGGGGATATGATGGCAGGGTATCTTGTAGGAGAACAGCTCAGTTGTTGGAGCATTCTTCAAAGAAGGAGAGAGATTCCTTGGCTGAACACTCAGCTTTTAAATCAGGCTCAAATCCTTGATCCACTTGTTCCAGAAAAAAAATTGTGCAATTCTGCAGTGGCACATACATCTTTCCTACAAGCACCATGAAGAAAGTTTGCTGTGATTATGGAAGAGAACCAACTCTAAAACATTTTAAGCATTAACCAAACCAGCTCTGTCAATGCCATGCGAGGGCACCAGGAACAAGGAACAAGAGGACTACCAGAGTGAGTATTGCAACACAGCTCATGAAAGAAAGCAGGTTGTGGTGTGACTCATAATTCAACCTTGAGAAGTTGCTTCTGCTAAAATGACTTCAGAACTTTCACCATGGTGACGGAAACTTGGATAAAATGAAATGCAGGTTACATCAGAAAATGGTTTATCAGAGCTGCTGAGTTAAGAAGCCAGTCTGTAATATTTGAGATATGTCACGGGATGCTGGCTTAATGGTTATGACACTGCCAGGTCAAATGTCTATGAATTTTCATACAGTAAAGACTTGGCGACTACATCTTGAGTAATAACTGAGGGTATTGAGGCTGACAACTTTTTAAGAACCTCATTTTTCATCATTGAGATAGTTGGTCTGTTCCACTGACTAAACTTAGAAAAATGAAGTTGATGCAGCACCAGGCACTGAGCACTGCGCTTCCTCTGCATCCCGTTCAGCCTGTCCACATTACACCACTGCCTTAAGGATAGCAGTGTAAATTAAACATGAGGAGGTCTCAGGACAGTGTGTTACAGACAAATAAGTTTTACAAAAATCAGTCTGAAACTACATTTAACCTGTCAGTGTCCCTTTCATATAACGGATGCATGCAAACAAGCTGTAATCCCAAATCACCTCCACAGATTTTCATCATCTTGAAAGATCAGCCCTCAAATTGAAGCTGAAAGCAAACTGTCAATTTCTGGCTGATACACAACCACCAAAAGCAGGAGCCCAAGACTTGCACATAGAATATTCTTGTCTGCAGAAAAAGGTCATCATTCTGCATGCAGTAAGAATTGTTAAGATTTACTATAAGCAGGAAATATTTTGCATGAATCTGCATGGAAGATACTTAAGAATACAGATTTTTGTCTGAGAGCAGGAGTAGTTATATGAAATACTAGTTTTGTTTTCTGTTCTCAAGGAACATCACGCTTGACAAGCATGTCGGTGTGCTGTATTGACAGGCATTGAAACTGCATGCAGAGCTGCCCAGGCTTGCACCTGCCTGGAAAAGAAAAAAGGACTCCAGGTGAGAAACAGCTAACAGTACTGAGCACTGGTTTTGTGCTCAAGTTCAGTGAATGTGATTTAGTTAACTCTAGTTAGGCTTCAGAAAAGCACAGGTAACTTGGTAAGATTTAGCCTAACCTTTTGCCCATTATAGACCATTAAATCACCTAACAGTCCCCTTGGCTTTAAAATCCATCAATTTCAGGATTTTTACTGCAGTCAGTTTAAATACGTCCCAATAATCAACTCTTATTCCAATGGTTTTTATTTACATTTACAAAAAATTGCTTCTTTTCCATAGAAATACAGGAGATATATCTTTAATTCCAGTAACAATTGATCCCAATGAAGAAGCGGGATATCCCATTTTCAAACAGGAAAGACACTCGCAGTTTCTCTCCCCGTCGCACATCCTGGAACGCAGCAGTTCGGAACTTGCAGAAGACGCCCAAGCAGAAGCTGCCCGCTCCGGCGGCTGCTCAGCGCCTCCCGGCCTCCCGCCGTGCGGTCAGTGCGCTAAGGGGCGCGGGGACGGCGCAGCCCCGAAGCGCGGCGGAGCGCCCGGCAGCGTCCCGCCGAGCCGCTGCATCGTCTGCACGCGTAGATCAGCCGCTGCCCCGCGCCATGCCCGGGCCGCCACGCTTCAGGCATTCCCGGCCGAGGGCTGCAGAGCGGTTCCGTGCAAGCGAGGCCGAGCGCGAGCCCGCCCCGCCCGTCCCGTCCCACCCCGTCCCGTCGGCAGCGGGGGCTCCTCAGCCACCCCAGTCCCCACTCGGTCCCGGCTGCCACGCGCACCCGCCTCGGCTGCGGGGAGAGCGCGGCTGGGCGCGGCCGTACCTTGCTGAACACCTCCAGGTCGTCCTCATCGTCGTCGAACGCCAACACCTCGGCGGAGGCGGTGAGCAGCGGCGTCTGGGCCGCACCGGGGGCACCCGCGAGGGGCTCGAGCCCTCCCCCGCCGGCGGGGGGCAGCGTCGGCTCCGGCGTCCGGCCCTCCGCTTCCATCCTTGCCACGAGTGCGGGCGGCGGCCCCAGCGGAGCCGCTCCCTGGGGCGCCGCAGTTGGCCGCCCGCCGCTCCGCCGACCCCGGCCCGGCCCAGGGCAGCCCCGGGGCGCGCCCAGTGCGCAGGAGTGGAAGAGGCGGTGGCGGGAGGGCCCGACAGCCGGGACGGGGCGGGATGCGGCGGGACCGGGGCGGAGCGCGTGCCGCGGGCGGGCGGGGACGGGGCGTCCCTGTAGAGGTGGTTGGAAGGTGGGGGCCGCTCAAAACGCCCGTACGTGATTTCGTGGAGGTGTGGGGGTGACGGCTGCGTATGACCGGGTCTCTCCGAGATCACTGTGGTCTCGGCCACCCGCTGGTATCTGCTCACCGGGGGTGCTGGGTGAAAGCGGTGGTCTCTGCAAAATGGTGAGTCCTGTGTTGAGCTTAGGAGAAGCAGCCACCGGTTTGTTTCCTGGGAAGTCTTAGGGAGTGTCTCAGCACGGACTGTGTGCCCGGGTTTTATTCCCCTGCTCAGGGCCCGTTTTGCTGTTGCAAGCCCAGCTGGAAAGCAAAACTTATTCCTGGACCCTCACGTGCTCTGGATGGCCTTTCTGTTGGTGGCCGGTCTGGGGTCCGGTCCTCAACCTGATGACAGAATTGGTGGTGACTTTGGCTTTTACTTAGACACGTTAGCACCATGTCACATGAGAAGGAGTGTGGGCTCAGCCTAAAGTGCTGTGAATTCCTTTGCAGGTCCTCCAGCAGGCAGGCTGTACAGTGTACTGCCCCTTGGTTCTCAATCTGTCAAATTAGAAAGGGCAAAAACCATAATGAAGTGAAGGTCTTTCCAAAGCCACTCATTTGTGTAACACCCGGAGCAGTTGGTGAGGACATTGATGTCGGGCTTCTCAATGGAGTGTTGAGCTACAGATTTAAATAGAGGGAAAATGAACACTGAATATTCACTGAACCGTGCTAAGGAGAAAGAGGGTATGCATATGTATTTAATGTATAGCAAGACACTTTGATGTCTGAAGGGGAAAAAAAAAAAAGAGAACAAACATCAGCCGGAGCTCAGCGTGCTGCCGGTAGAGCCCCGCGGAGAGCTGCGCGCTCGCAGGCGGCCGCCACCAGGGGGAGCTACAGCTGTGCTCCGCCCGGCTCTGTGCGGTGCGGCCGCGCTCCCACCGCCTGCCCGCCTGTCTCCTGCAGTCCGTGCTGCTCCTTCCCGGCCTCCGGCTGTCCTCGTGTACCAGCTGCTGATTGGAAACCGGTATCGCGAGGTTACTTCCCTTTCTAATCGGTTCTTCGTACTTCGGCAGTAAGAGGGGGGCAGTCTTCTGACTGCTGATCCGCAGAGGTGATGGATGAGCATTGTGCCCTCTCTGGGTTTGTTTTTATTCCTCTGTTTTTAAGTGCCAGAGACATGCCGTGTTTCTGAATGAAGCACCCGCAGCCTGTAAAATGCCATGTTTTTTATGTGTTTGTATTTAAATTCAGGTGTTATACTCGTGAGGCAGTAATGGAATAAAAGGAAACTTAGCAAGGACCAGAAATGCAGACAGCACGCGTTAGGGATGATAAATAAGGGACAGCAGTCAAAAAAAGTATAAAACTGATCTACTGCAGTCTTGAATACTAAGGCTGTCATCTCTCTCATACTAATTTTTCAAAGTTTTACCATTCTCTTGGGTTCTTTATTTCTGTTGGAGAATATACTTTAATTGGATTTTTTTTTCTTTTTATAGTTTTTTATTATCTCATTAATCAAGCTTAACAAGATGTATTTTTAGATTGCTCAGCGGTGGTGCTTTGCTTTCTGTGCTTTATATTTGAGGTACCAGTCTGTGCAAAAAAGGTATTCATTGTCCTTTGCTCTGGGAAAAATTGGCATATAAGAGTCCCTTGGAATTTCAGTCATCACCAGAAGCTGTGCTGGAACACAGCAGGAAACTTTCCTATCCTCACTGGCACCTGCCTGTCCCATGCCTACCCCAGCTGTGCCTAACTGATGGGAGGGCACAGGGAAGCCAGCTGTGGCTTCGGGACATCCTCTCTTCCCCAACAAGGCCCAGCTACCAGCATTTCTCTGCCCTGCAGGATTTAGCAAACAGAGCTCTTTACAGACTCAGGAATTCGTCACCAATTTTCTGGCATAGGAGCAGAGATAACTGTAAACAGCTGAATATTTGAGACACTGTGGGAGCACAAACACAGTTACACCTAGCAGAAGCTATTCACAGGTTTCTCTTGCGCTATTTCAAAAGTCCATTGCTGTAGATCTTGGGTTTCTGTGTGCACGTGTGTGCCGGGGATGTGCATGTGTAACTACAGATATTCTTCCCTGAGTTGGGTCTTGGTAATAAAGATCAATACGTCAGAAGTCTTCATGCCGTGAATGTTACTGCCACACTAGCTATTGCACTGAGACCATACTTAGAAATATTTTGGCAAGGAAATGTTATACGATGTAAAATGTGGTGTTTTCTAAGTAACTGTTCAGTTGCTGTGAACTTCTGTGAAGTGTTCCAGGCCCTCCTCCTGGGGAACACTGGGTGCAGCACTCGCATGTGCAGGGGCTGTGCTGCAGTTGCCTCCAACTTTTATTTATACAGTTAAGCCTGAAAAGCTGTTTTGTATTACAAAATTGTCAGTGTTGCATTGCTTGCATGTCCCCTTTTTCCTTGCTAAGAGTGTTGATCCTCGCTAGTAATCCCTTCCAGAGTTGCTTTTTCCTGAACAAATTAAATTTACAAACACCGAAGCAGAACCGAGCTGTTCCTTTGCTCTCATGTGCAGGCTGCATGTGATCCCTTTAGGGCACAATACCACTTTGAATACTTAATGTTGACTTGTCGAGTTTCACCAAATGCACAGTGATATGGATGGGATTAAATCCTGTTTGATTTCCTGTCCTCCCTAGCCAGGCAGTGGGGGGTGCGGAGGGCTCACAGTGTTTTACACTGTTCCACCACTGAAGTGCAAATAATAAGCATATTAGTGAATCTGCTGACATCCAACACCTTGGCACAAATGAGAACAGTTTTCCAGATCTAAAATGCATTGTCAAGTAGTATTCTTGTCAGGGTTATCTAACGTATAAGCAGAAGTCATTACGTTTACACCCAGAAGATAGTTTGATGGTGAATTAAGGGCTGACCTTCCTATCATACTCTTTATTAGAGCAGGCTTTACTGTAAGCTCCATATAATGACTCAAAATCAGGTTAACTCTTTGTGTGCCGTGCCTGAACTGGTGGCAGAGTCAGAGTGTTAAAGCTCTTGGGTAAGATGTGCGTGGCTTTGCTTTCCAACTGCGTGCTGTGCTGAGGCTGAAAGGTAACTCTTGCTCTTCTATTGCCTTCTTGTTGTTGCTACTATGCTAAGAATAGGAGGTACTTTTATCGATGTATTGTAAAATGCTTCTGTTGGTGGGTGAATGCCAGGCTTGTTTATTTCAGAGACCATCAAACGGTCTTTGTTTTCTGACTACCCAAAGGAAATTACAGTGTAGTGTTCTCATAATCATGTTATCTTTTTTTATAGTTGCAGATCAGTTTTATGACATTGTAGATGCACAAAGCCCTGATCGATACCTAGAGACTTGCTATACTTTTAAGTTATGTGACTCTGCCAAATTTTAGACATAAAAATATTCCAGGTAAAGCATTATTGGGTTTTGTAATTTTTTTACCACATCTAAAAACAGTTGCTGAGCTTCATTGGATGTGAAAGCATTGATTTTTTTGGTAATACTTTGAACTGCTGTCAGAGTCAGTCTGTTCTGATGTAGCATTATCTCTTCTGTTGAAGGAATAGTTTCATTTTTCCAAATAATTGCTGTTCTTCTCATTTTTGATGAATAGTGTGTTTAGCAATCTATATTTTATGGCGTGAAATATTGGAGTGCCTCTGAGTCTGAAAGTATCCAAGAAATATATTAATACTTAACATACCTCTGAAGGTTTATCAGATTAATTTGATAAATGTATTGAAGTTCTTATCTTACTTTTCCTGATGTCGAGTTTGGGAGCTCTGAACTTTTGGTAGAAGGAAGGAGATTAACACTGGGCCTCTGTATTGCCTGTTTGACCAGGTGTGGTCCTGTCTGCTAAATAACTGGAAATAAATGACAGCAACTGATAGGAATGTTACACATTTACAGATGTCTGCTTGTAACTGAAGTTGAAGAATGAAATATCTGAGCTGTTGCAGTGCAGTCCACATGCTCTGCAAGTGCTCTGCAAGCCTGTGTGATCTGTGGCAAGAATCTCTTGGCGTGGAAATGGGCTGAGCAAATTGATCTGGGTGTTGTGTCACGGGGCCAGTAGGCCTGACGGAATGCTGGCAATCTGCTACAGAAGTCTTTTTGGCTAGAAATAGGTGGAGAATTCACTGCCTGTACTGGCCTCACCGTCTGGCACAGTCAGCCAAGAGCTGGGTAGCAGTGCAGCCACCAGCTGTTGCCAGGGGCCCCGAGGTGCACAGGCACCCATGGCAATGCACCCTGCTGCTGCAGCCGGGGAAGCTTCTCAGCCTTCTATGGGCACAATTTGCTTGTGCTTGGGCAGCTAAATCCTGGGTGCTGTGTTATTGTAAAGGGCAGTGTCTCAGGGTCATTCTTGGTAAAGTATGTCCCTTTTTGTTCTACGGAGATCGGAAAATGTAAAAAACTATTAATGCAGAGGAGAAAGTATAGTTCTGGATGGTGGATTGTGGCCGAGAGGAAAGAATGCAAGCAATGCAGCCACAGAGAGGAATTTTAAAGCATATGTGTGAGACTGCCAAAATGAAAATTGCAGCCGAAAGAAGTGAGCCAGCAGTCTAACTACAATCGATATCCAGATTAAGTAAACAATTACAGCCTGCCAGGGAAACTGAAGTGTCTTCAGGTGTAAATTCTGGTTTATTTAGTTT